TTACTTGTTAGCTTCATCAGACTCCAGTGTAAATCTAAAGAGCTATGGTTGACAATATCAGAAGTAAGATAAAAATTGTCTTAATTTTCATTTATTTTTATTTTCTTATTTAAGAATTTCATAGCAATTTGTTTGGAGGTCGAACGTCTGTGTTGAAAGCTGTTGAATTTAGGTGACATCAATTTTGCAAAGATTAAAAAAAAAAAATTGGACAATTTACAACATTTTGATTGGAAATCCTGAAACAGGATTCTTTATTTGTTGAAAGCATAATTTTAATATGTTTTTTTTTATGTAGATCAAGCAGGTGTTAGCAGTAGGGCTGTAGTCAAGACCACCATTGTTGAGTCAGAGACAAGACCAAACCATGACTAGTCGAGATCAAGACCAAGTCTAAAGGGCCCAAGACCAAGTCAAGGCACAGTCTAAATGAAAATGAGAGTCAAGACCAAAACCCAAATAACTCTTCAAGATCAGGCCTTAATTAGTCTTAAGTCAATCAATTTACTTGGCAGTATTAGTAATAATTATTTATCAGTTTTTTATTCATCAAAATTATATCAAAATATCTTTTTTTTGACAGAAGTGAAATTCAGGCAAAAAAACAATAACGCCACCCACCTGATATCAAGAACGTTTCCTGACCTTCTATCTGCTCGGATGATCTGCCTGTTGTTTTGAAGAGAATACAGTACAGTCCAGCACAATACAGCTGTTTATTTTTTGTTTATTTAAGGGATGTGATTTATCACCTTATGTTTAAATTGATGTTAAATTGAATTTTTACAATGATTTTATATGAAACAGTTTATATTTCCAACAGATTACAGCGCCGGAGCTCAGCTTTGTTTGCTGTTGAGACAAAGTAAAGATGCCGAAGCTCAGCTCTGGTTCACTCCTGCCCAGTTTAACCCCTGAGCTGCTTGAGTGCGAGTCAGTGAAATAAATTTGGCGAGACTGATGGCTGAGACAGAGACACGGCCAAGTATAAATACTACCTAGTCCACAGCAAGTCCAAGTCAGAAGTCTTCAGACGCAAGATTGGACTTAACTACTACAGTCCTAGTTAACATGCTAACTAGCGTCTGCATTGCTATCACTTTTTTACACTTTCATTTCACCAAAAAAGAAGCAGAAAAACAGATCGTCAGGTATGAGTGGGCAATGTGATAGTAGTTATTGTTATTGGGATAAATTATGTCACATTACGTCACAGTAGTAGTGGGCCGTATACTGGATCCTGGTGTTTTCTAGGCAGCAGACATAATAGAATGGCTGGTCTTTTGAGGTTAGCCTTAGCCTAACGTGGATACCAGAGCAAAAAGTCCTGGCTGAGGAGACGCCTGACTTAGTCAACGTTGCGACTGAGCTTCTCTTTAGAAACTGAAATGCAGGATGAAAGAAAGCGCGTGTGAGGCGGGCGAGGGGGCAGAGAACAGATGATCACATTCAGCTCCACCATCTTTTACCCTGCGCCTGTATAGGCCAATGAAGCCCCTGCTTAGAGTCATTATATAACATGCCTAAGCTGAGCTGATTGAGTGAGTGGGTATGATGGACTGTGTGTTGTTGCAGGTTGGAATGGAAATGTGTACCTGTTGTAGAAAAATGCATACAGTTAAGAAGCTGCTGAGAGATGGTGCTCAAAACTGGCCTGCCAAGTGCAGAGACTCCTGAGTGGTGACTATAATACACAAAGGGCCAGTTTCCCATAAATGGATAAAGCTAAAGCCTGGAATAAAAAGAATTTTCAATGGCAATTCTCCTTTGACACTGAAATTTAGTCCAAGATTAGGCTTAATCCAGGTCGGGGAAACCAGCATTATATGTGCAGAAGTGTCCAGACACCCTTATAATTAGTGAATTCAGCTGCTGCACCAACTGCTGGTATTGATGTTCACACAGCTTGTATAATCTCCATAGAAAAGCATTGACCAGTAGATTGGGACGCTCTGGAGCAGCTGCACATGGGCCTAAGGTCGCCAGGCCCAGTGCCAAGCATGGGCTAGAGGGGTATGCTCTAGTGGCTAAATGCAGCCAAATCCTTACAGCAATGTTCCAGCATCATAGTTTTTAACTAACTGTTCAACACTATATAATTTTGTTGTAATATATCGAGTTATTTCCAGAAAATTTAATGATCTTTCTTCATACATCTCTACAGCTCACCTCGTTGATGTATTTAACATGTGTATGCGGTGCCAGATTTACTAAAATAGGCGCCAGATCTGGATCCGGCACAAATTAAGCCCTGACTTTAGACTAAAAATAGTGCTGGGAAAGAATACTCAGGCTGTAATGGCTTTTTGTAATACAAAACTGTGTGAGATGCTGATTGGTTGCGTGTTCTGTTGTTTGTCTGGCAGTAATGAGTCATAACTGACTGAAATAAGTCTTCCAATTTTGAATTAAGTGGCTCTATGATGGTCAGTCAGCGTTTGACTGCTTTTGATTGCTTTTCGAACTGTATGTTCTGCAGATGTATGTTGTTTCCACAGACCATTTCAGTCATACATCCTAAATAAATATGTCCATCAGCATGAGCAAGAAGTAGTGATACTGAGTAAAAATGAATGAATAAATATTAAAAAAGAGTATAATTAATACTGTGAGTAATGACAGAGATACTCAGATATGGGGATTGTGGGCTGATGCTGATACATAAACATTTATAAAGTGTAGAAATTAGGAATCTGTTGACCTGGAATGGCATTATGGAGAAATATAACGCATAATGCATTTCTCTAGGGTTACAAATGCAGTGAAATGAAAAAAATGCAGATATTTTAGTGTTTTATCCCAGCATTGACCAAAACATTTTGTTCTTATTGAGTACAATAAATACCTCATTAAATATCACGTTAAATATCAGTCAAAAATCTGTTGGATACCACAATTATCTGCCGATACTGATATGATTCCAATATTGTCAGACATCCCTTATTATTATTGCCCCGAAATATTCTGTATGTAAAAAAAAAACTATGATTACTAGTAATCATCCTCATTGGTTTGATGGGGTATTCTGGACTGGCCTTCAATGATTAAAGGGACCATATCATGGAAAACTGAATTTTCCTCACTTTTTTAAAATAAAAGATGTATAAAAATATAAATGGTCAGTGTTTCCAAATATAGCGTCCACTCCCCAGTCTATGTAGACCATATATGGAGACTAGGCTGCCCATTTCCCTGTTTTTGTGATGTCATGAAAAGCAACATATTTATATATACCTGCCTACAGCAGTTTAGCCCCGCCCACTCACACTGAATTTATAAATCAAGCATAGTACAGGACAGCTAGTCAGAACAGAGGTCATTTATGTATATCATTCTTAAAGGCACAGTAACAAAACATTGTTTAATTCTAAGAGATAAAAAGGTTGAAAATTGGTCATGTAAAAATTAACGATAACTGTTTTCAGCGCTTAAAAGCACAGAAATGTAACTAGTTGACCTCAGAGAAAAAGATGTGGTGTAGGATACGGGCCCTTTAAGAGGTGACTTTTGCTCCACTCTTGGCCATTCAAAAAATGAATTTAACTAGAGATTTTATTAATAAACATTATTGAGTGGACAAATGTAGACTTCCCCAGTGTTCATTAGAGTCGTCGTTTCCTCCAACGCTGCTACTCACTGAGCACTGTGCATATACGTTCAGTACTCATAAGATCAGTTTTACAAGTTTTTGCATGTATTTGCATGACTTTGCATAATTTTGCATGCCTTAAAAAGTATGGCATGTTATAATTTTGAGAAACGGGCACAAAAAAGTACAAAAATAGGCTGATTCCTCCTCCTGTGCTGCAAACCTGGTGGTTATGCTGGTTTGTGTGGTGCATCTGGGGAAGATTTTATCTATTTGGCAAAATTATATGTTGCATTAATTTGAAAGCCTAATCATGGTGTTTGGGGAACATGTTATTTTTTGAGCCGTTCAGGATGGGGTAGGCGTTTTTCTGTGCCTCTCGTTGCAGAACTAGTGGTAGTGACTTTCTCAGTAGAGCTGATGGCTTTATATAAGTATTGTGGTTGTACTAAACTTGCGACTAAATGGCGTTATTTATATTGAAGCTTATATTTTGTCGTAGGAAGTTATACTTCTCTTTCATGTGTGTTGTGTAATGTTTGACTTGGATTAAAGAATTATGTGTACAGTACTGTCAGAGGTCAGATCACCCACGTTCTTAATTTTTCAGTGTCAGGAAAAGAGCAGAAAAATTATACAGAACACCTAAATATAATTTACATATTTTAGTGTTTAGTGTGTCACTCTTTACCTTTATTACAGCTTCCATTCTTTTCAGCAGACTCACTTTCAGTTTCTCAAAGAAATCTGCAGACACACCTCCAAAGTTTTGTTTTAGAAGTTGGTTTTGCATTTTCTGCTTCTCACCATCCGATTAATCAGACACGAACAGTGATGTTGAGGTCTGGACTCTGGGGTGGTCAGTCCATTGTTCAGCTTCTTTGTTTGATGTGTCCGTCTCCTTTTCTCAGTGAGGTTCTTCTTGGCAGCTACACATCCTTTCAGACCCACAGCGCTGAGTCGTCTTCTCACAGTGGAAGGATGGACAGAAACACCTGTGGATGTTTTCAGATCTGGAGCAGCTTGATTTTCTCCTCTCTCTCAAAGACGAAAGCTTTAAGTGCTGTTTATCTGATGGGGGCAGTGTTGGTGGTTGACCAGGTCTTGCATGGTTGTTAGGAGTCCCATTTTCTTTGCAGCTATTAATTATGAACTTTTTTTAAGCTCCTCTTGTGTTTTTTTAGTTATTTTCCATTCTCTCCTTCCTTATGCAAGTAGACTGTTTTATATATATATTCTCCTGAACAAATTAATAACCACTAAAAATTAAACAAGTTAAGGAAACTCTCTCACTTTTGCACAGTACTGTATGACAATAGGACTGCCTTTTTTGTAAACAGACAGCAGAGCAATAGCTTTTTTATAGTCTAATCTGTCCAAAGTCTAAGTCTCCTTCTGTTCTGTTGTCCAGGTCCTGTGTAATGTGTGCTGGTGAGGACGGTGTGTGTGTGGGGGCCGAGTGGACTCAGGGCTTCGCTGAGATGTGACTGCAGCAGTTATCGTCTACACTCCGGGTAAGTCTTTCTTCTCTGTCTCTCTGCTCCTCGTCGTGTCGTTGTGGTTTCTGAAGTAGGTGGACACGTCATTAAGCCACCCCGTTCCACTGTTTATCTGCAGTGAACAGAAACTGTGGTGTTATTGGAGTTAGTGCTGATCGAATGGGTTGAATGTTTTCTGTCTTCTTCTGACAGTTTTGAATATTTAAAACGAAATCTTTAGCTTCTTCCTGTTTACTATAATAGAATTCATTCAGTGTTGCTAGTCTGATTACTATCATAACCATTAAAAGCATGTAGTGTAGCCATGGAAATGGGAGTAACTTAACCATGTTAGTCTATTTATATTAACCTTGGAAATGAATGGAACCATGGAAGCTGAACACCGATAAACACTAATAAACACTGACTAATGTCTATTTCCTGTGTTTGCACTTCATTCATTACATTTCCAGTCAAAACGGCCATTAATTGCAAGTTTCTTTCCTTCAAAAATTATTTAAAGATTTGGAGAAAATTGGGCTTCTAACAACCACCTTCAAGACCTGTTAAGCCGGGGTTACACTACATGACTTTTAGCCCGATTTTAGCCCCGATTCTCAGTCTAGCTGAGTCTGTGTTGGCCCCAGTCTGCAGGTTTTTGATTATTCGAAGTCGACAGTTAGAGAGAGAATCGAGTCGTGTGTGAGGGGCGCAGACTCCAATTTTTTGCTTCCTGATCATGTTTGACATGATTATTCTGACCCGACTAATCCTGTGTAAACTGGTCAACGACTCAATCTGGACAGGCTCCTGCAACAGCCAATGAGAACTGAGAGCGTGAAAGAAGAAAATACAGCAAGTAGCAAAGAAAAATGGTGAAAAGTCTCTCACGTGTGAGGCGAAGCTTTTTAATGAGCTGAGTTTAGGGCAAGAGCACAATCGAGTTTATGTACATTTAAAACTCTAAAAAATCCCAAACTGATTTTTAAATCCATGATTCTCACTTAAACATGTTTACCTGCTGCTTCTTTACTGTGTCAGCAGAGAAAACAGCAGCAGTATGAGTGGATCAGACACAGCAGTGCTGCTGTGTCCACTCACTGTCCACTCTATTAGACACTCCTACCTTGTCAGTCCACCTTGTAGATGTAAAGTCAGTGACGATAGCTCATCTGCTGCTGCACAGTTTGTGTTGGTCATCCTCTAGTCCTTCATCAGTGGTCACAGGACGCTGCCCACAGGACGCTGTTGGCTGAATATTTTTGGTTGGTGGACTATTCTCAGTCCAGCAGTGACACTGAGGTGTTTAAAAACTCCAGCAGCACTGCTGTGTCTGATCCACTCAGACCAGCACAACACACACTAACACACCACCACCACATCAGTGTTAATGCAGTGCTGAGAATGATCCACCACCCAAATAGTACCTGCTCTGTGAGGGTCCATGGGGGTCCTGACCACTGAAGAACAGGGTAAAAGGGGGCTAACAAAGTATGCAGAGAAACAGATGGACTACAGTCTGTAACTGTAGAACTACAAAGTGCACCTATATAGTAAGTGGAGCTGATAAAATGGACAATGAGCGTGGAAACAAGGAGGTGGTCATAATGTTATGCCTGATCGGTGTATGTTTTCTGCTTTTTTCTGATGCTGAAAAATTACTAACTTATACTTAATGGCCATTTCGACTGGACGTTAAATAAATGAAGGATGGACTGCCAGTGTATGTTAGACTATTTCTTGCTGATATATAGCGTTAGAGATATATTTTATTCTACATGGTGCACCCTATTCACCGTGTCTGTCCCAGCCTGGGACAAACCAGCCCACACTGACCCTCCTCACATCACCCCTTTACACTCGCTTTCATCTTCACATGCACAGGCCAAGGCTTTAAAAACAGAATTTTATTTGCTGTCTTTTATTCAAGTGATTTTTTTCACATATCAGTGCACACAACTAAGAGCTGCAGAAGCCAATAAGTTGTGTCAGGAGAGGCCTGTGCTGCGGTGGTTCTGTTTTAAAATGAATAGCCGGAGGTGTGCGGGGGAGACGGAGAGATGACATGCTGCGATACGGATGACCTGCTCTCAGACTGATGCCACAGGGCCTGGCAGCGTGCGCGTGTGTCTGTGCGGAGATGAAAGTTGAGGAATTTGAGGCAGGACTCTGTGTCCTGATGGAAGATTAGAAACTGGGGCAGAGAGGCATGACTGTACATCCACAACCAGTGTCCTCTACCAGAGTGTACAGAACCTACGCCACACCTGGCGAGCAGGACACTTAGTTTGGAGCTTTAAGGAACTTGAGTAGCTAAAGATTTAATGGAGGTGTGGATAAACTTAGCTCAACATAGCATCACTGTTTTAATAAAACCTTGTAAAAACATGTCATATGAAAATAAAGTTGTAATTCTAAACACAGCAGGCAAAACATCAACATAGCATTTGCATTCTATTCTTTTATTGCTGCTCAGTGTTTGGTGACTTCACCTTCATCTAGAGGAGTAAAAGATTCACTAAATTGCCATTGGCTTCAGCAAGAGTTACCAAAGACAGAGGGTCCCACTTTGGTTTTATAGGTCTCTGAGATGATGTTTTGTTCTGTAGTTGGTGTCATGCACGGATTAGTCTAAGCTGGTTTTCTCTATGGAAAAAAATGAATGACGTTTTTGAAAAATTGCTGCCGTCGTGTACTGCGGTAAACAAAAATGCTCCAGAGCAGATACGTTTTGTCCTGGGTGCATTTACCTCCAAGTGTCGCTGGATTCTCTGAATTACGGGGCTGTTTAGCAATTGAAATATAAGTACTGTTACATACATGCCACGAGCTAGCTAACATGCCTGTGCATTGAAATGACGTCATATGAAAGTATAAACATTACCAGGTTAAAGTGTCACAAATCCGATTTTTTGCCCTAACGTGACTCAGACCTGATGTTTTCAGGGCTGTGTGGATGCACAAATCTGATCTTTTCAAATCCAACCTGAGCCACTTTCATATGTGGTCCTAGATTGGATACGCATCCGATTCATGGCCATGCAACCTTGATGTGAACACTCATGGACATGACACAAACGATTCATTAACGTGACGTTACTGAGTAGGATGTGCCCATGCGGGTCAGTTCAGGACGACAGTTCGTTCACATTAATGACAAATTTGAATCACTTACCTAAACGAGTGTGAACCATCATGTCAGAGAGATCGGATTTGAGCAAAAAATCGGATTTGAGCAACGAGGCTTGTAATGTGAACGTAACCAAAGTTTGCTATTAAATTCAACACTGTTATTGATCAAGCTGCAGCCTAAAGCTTCCAAAGCAACTTAACTGCCACGTATGACAAAGCCTAGAATGGGATCCACACTGTGTAGAACCGTTCGATTCCAATAAAATGTGGAGTCGACTCCGACTCCGATTCCTAGTGACAGTAATCGATAGAGTTAATTCCACAACTCAATGATCTTGATTCCAAAAACAAAGACATAGCGAAGGACATCTGGCGTAAAGAGTACAATATCAATTATATTTCACTAGAGCAAGGAAATTTGGGGAGCTAACATTAGCTAATTCAACTTAGCTGACTAGCAGGGTCTGGCTAAGTACCTGATTCTCCTCTGTCAACTTGATGTTTTGGCACTAAGTCAGTTTATCGTCACACATTTTACACTTTGTTTCATTTTGTCCAAAGTAAAATGTAGCTGGACTGTCAATGTATGTGTTGTAGAAGGACGTATTTTAATTCAGGCTATCTAGTCACTCTCTGTGTGCACGTTCGAACATCGTTGTGTGGAAGTCCAGCACTTTAGAGTCGACTCTCAATTCCTAAATGCCTGAAATCCAGGAATGGATTCTTATTGGGATCGACTCCCAGCCCTTTTTGTCCTTGTGAATCCACACTGCATTTTTTGAATGCTGCTCCTGGCTGTGCGTCTCCTAGTTGCTAAGCATTGTAACGGTCAAATCAAGTCACGTGGTCTTTATTGTAAACACGTGGTCTTTACTGAAAACAAAACTTTTCAGCTGCTGGTCACTTCAGCTTCACACATGAGGGGGAGGGACAGTCCATAAAACATGCGAGAGATTTCGTTTGTGTGTGTCTGATTATCCATCCATCCATCATCTAAACCGCTTATCCTTCTGGGTCGCGGTGGGGTTCTGGAGCCTTTCCCAGCTGTCATTGGGCGGAAGGCAGGATACACCCTGGACAGGTCGCCAGTCCATCGCAGGGCAGTGTCTGATTATTATTATTAATAATTCTAGGCTTGGGTGCTTCTGATATCTACACATAACATTCAGTTGAATATTGACACAATAGTGAGACATAAAAAACAGAAGCATAACATAAACAGTTGGAGTTAGATTTTAGTTGCAAGTGCTGACAGCAAACACACATGGTGGTATTGGCCACTTAGTTGATGCTACCCAATTGACATTATTTGACTCAACAATAGCCACAAATCTAGTTTCTAAGCCAAATTTTATGTCATCAATTTGGGTACATTTTGGCTTTGAGCCAGATGACAAGGGCTGTGTTTACATGCAAAGATTTTTGCCAATCCGATTGAACACAATCCGATTACAGATTCAGACTGAGGTGTTTATATGCACACTCTATTCAACAATTTGATGGAAAATCTTCGTTTACATGCTCACTACAAGTAATCCGATGCAAAATGACGCGCATGCGTGGAGTAGCGCTTAGAGTAAACGTTACCATGACAGCGAACATCACGTGAGGTCCAGTCCGCGTGATATGAGTTTCCAGTTGGCTCACTTGTGTTTTAATTGCTTTAAAATGAGGTCAGACTCAGGAAAACGTCCTTCACATGTCCTTATTAAAGAAGGCCGAGAGGAAGACGTCGTGTTCTGAGACACATAAGCTGGACGTCCGTCCCACCGCCGTCTTTTAAAGATCAGAGCATAAACTTGTTTCTGCTCCGCCATGCTGAACGGTATAAACTTTCGCCATGACGCGACGCACATGCGCAGAACGTACTTACACGTTCTGATTGGAATGTAATCGGATTCAGG